TAATTCTGTTTAGGTATTGGAACGAAAACCCGGGGCACTGTGAATGCTGACCATGTGGATTTGTGTAGATCCAAGACTGATGAAGATCCATTGCTTCGTCGGCAAAATGTGACTCTGGAGCGTCTTATTCTTGAAACGATCCGCAACTGTATGTGGGGCAGCCTTGTGCTGATCACTGACGTAAACCCTAGCCTGGCGTCTGCTGTTATGGACTCTGTTCAAGACATGAGCTTTCTTTTTCTCACTCATTTCTCTGTTTCCAAAAGTACTTCTTACCAAGACCTGGTGGACATTTTCCACCGAACTTACGGAGTTAACAGAAAAGCGAATTACCTCCTCCTCACGCTCAGAATTCGAGACGTAATGTTTGCTGCGAAGACATTTTCAGACTCCGAGAAAGGAGGTTCGCTTTTTGTGAACCGTGCAAAATTTTTACTTTTGACCAATAAGAACAAATGGGATCTAGAGATGGATTATAAAATATTGGAGTTAGATCACGTGGTGAGGATAGGAGCAGAAGAAGACTACGGGACCATACAATACGTTCAGACACTAATATGGAGGGAAAACAGATCTCGAGAATTTTCTGACGTCAATACAGGATATCTTGACAGCGTCTGTGAAGTCATATTCCCAAACGTCCAGAACGGTCTGAATGGAAGAAAGTTGTCTGTCCTAATAGAAGAGCTTAAAAGGTATGTGTACAAGAGACAACTCCCTGGAAGCGGCGGGTATTTTTATGACGGATTCAGCGTTCAGATTGTGAATATTTTAGCAGAGTTTTTGAATTTCACGATCGTCTATATTCCTGACTTCAATGCAGAAAACAACAACTTGTGGAATGAGTTTCTGCGTATCCTAAGAGAAGGAAAGGTTGATTTTGGATTAATCACGTGGTCAATCGCTTTAGAATACAGTCAGAACCAAACAGTGACCTTCCCTATAGAATATTTGACCGTCACTGGAGGCTACAGGCCTATCCAAACTTCACATACTTTATTTTTAAGTAAAACGTCTCTTGTCAATATCGCCATAATGGTGAGCTGTTACATTTTCACTACTTTGTTCATCAATTTCTTGTTTAAAATCACTAACAAACTTCTAACACCGCCTGATGATTCCCCACAAAAGGAGCGTGTCGGGGCTACTGAATGTCGGACACTTTCTACAGACAAATACAAAACCTTCAGGAAAGCAGAAATAAGTGGAGAGGAACTTGCTGGCCAGCGGGCACCTGGCCTTGTGTCGTCACGAACACGAACACACGACATGTTGAAATGTTTCTGCAGTGCAAACGACACCGCTTTCGACCTCTTCGGAACAATCGTCAAGCAAGGGACATTACCAAAACCCACGAAAACGTCACAGTGGTCGGTTTTGTGGGCGTGGTCTCTCGCTGGGTTTTTGATGACAACACTGTATTCCGGGCTCATGACTGCGGACATGGTGAAACCGAGTCCTCCGAATGTAGCTTCTACGTTTGAGGAAGTCTTGTCTAGAACAGACTTCCGTTGGTGCGTTCCTCGCGTTAGTGAAACCCTGATCACAGCTATGAGGATGGCCAAGAAAGAGTCCGTCTTAGGCCGGCTGTACGAAGGACTGTTGTATCTACGATCAAATGCTTCGGACAGTTGTGACACCCACGAGGGAATTATTGAACGGTTGAAATCTGAGAGGAATTTTATCGC